AGCTTGAAAAACACGACACCTTTAAAATCCCACCACACTGAGAGCATAACCTTCCTCTGATGAATGTCTGCTTTCGATGTTGTTTGAGGCAAATCATCACGTCAGGACCATGATCGTTTGCACACCACATTGTTGTAAACAATCCTCTTCTCATCACCAGTTATCAGTCGCTTCAAAAAAGGGTCAGTTTCCTCACATTTAATGAGCATATCGCAGATGTTTATACGCCGTCAAATGAACTTCTTTGAGTTCATGTGGAACCCAAATATCGAGTTTGCTTATGTATCCCAGTTTCTTCAGCTGGTTGTGAATGCTTGAATGATGTATGTTCAATGTTTCTGCAATCTCTCATGTCGTGTAACATGCGTTTGACTCAATCAATGCCTTTATTTTGTCGTTATCAACCTCGGTGGGCCTCCCTGACCGAGGAGCGTCATTGAGATAAAAAATCACCGGCATGGAATTTCGTGAACCATTGTTGGCATTCTTGTAGAGCATTGTCACCGTAAACTTGATGCAACTTTTCACAAGCTTGATGCGTTCTTCCCTTTATGGAAGTAAAACAGCAAAATATGGCAAAAATACACAGTTTGGTCTTCCATCTTCAACTTGTTGTAAAATCTCCAAAACTCAACCAAGTCGCTCAATTATTTTTTTAGAATGAAGCTAGAACTGTCAGCTGTCAAATGACATAGCAATGACATAGATGCAAATGACTCTAGTACTTCCAAAAGTGAACTAGTGTCATCTGTTGCAAACACGCGTCATGACTTTTCCGACGACCCAATAATTTGGACTCAGAGATTCCCTTACTTGAAAAAACAGACCACTTTCTTCTTGAAAAAAAACCTTTTGAAAAACCTGTACAAAAATAAAAACAAGTAGCAATGATGCAACAATTAAACCAAATATTTAAGGATGGTCAGACCCAAGTGTATTATTCTGCATGTACCAGATCTAATGTGGATTGAGCTCCCACTGTCACACTCCAAGAATTATGGGATATTAATAAAGCTGTTGCAGCCTTCTCTTACTAGAGAGGGCAGAAAAAACAAGGTTACCACATACCATTTCTATTCATGCTGTTCATCCATTTATCAAGCTCTTCCATTTCTATTTCCATAACAGAGGGTGTGTCTTCCTCAAAAATAGGGCTAGAAAGAGAGCAAAAAGCTTGTTGAAAGAAAAAAAAAAGTAGTGTGCTGAATTTCATTTGGTGAGAGCCTTCAATGTGGACTATGAGTATGATGATAAACGTGATGCAGTGTCTTACACTCCAGTGTAGATTGAGCATGTGCCCTATTCAAGTGAACCAAACTCTAAGAGGAAGAAAGGCTAAAAGTAAAACAAACATTCATCGATCTCTGATCCAAAAATGGAGGGTGAGGGCACACAGCCCAGCACAGGGCCTGAGAGGGAACCCAGGAGGTTCAGCTCCCTTAAAGGTTCAAAGTGAAGCCTGCAAGCCTTCCACTGGTGAGGTTCCCCTAGGGAGTTGCCACATTTAGCATTGTCGCCTTGCTTAATTTCACTTCCCTTTCTTTGGGGTTTTTGATCATTGCCCCAGGTCAAGAGGCTACTTGCATGACCTCTGCCTTCAATTCCCAGGCTTTTCTGTCTTGGAGAAATGGAGCATTGCTTTTGAATGAAATCCACTACCATTCACCTGCCAGGGCTGAGAGGCTTAGAGCACACAGTGCCGGGGGAGGGTGGGGAGCCCCTGGTTAAAAGGGCAGGCCAGGCGAGTGGGCGTTTCACCCTATAGAGGAACCCAGCTAAGTAAGGAGTAAGATTGCTGTGGAGGAGTAGTGAGAAGAAGGAGGTGGCATTGCCCTTGAACGTTCTTCTGGGGTGAATCTTCTATTTCCTCCTTCCCTTCCTTCCTTTCTCTCTACCAGCTCCCCCACCCCCGACTTCTTTTCGCTCCTCTCCATTCCTCTTCTATCAGGGTTCCCCTCTCTTAACAGCAGTGAAAGTGTCTCCTCTGGTGATAAAAATTTTAATCCAAATAAATGGACTGATGTCCTTGAAATACACCCAGGGACAGAATATTTAACTACTACGCATTTGAAATTGGTTAGCAGTCAGAAAAAGATTCTTTTCTGAACAGAGGGCTCTGTCCTCAGCCCAGACCCCCCTGGAATGAGGTTTGGGGACTAGGACATCCATCAGTAGGCTGCTAGGGGCTGTCTCCTGTGACCCAGGAAGCAAGAAGTCCCCTGCAAAGGGTGTCAGAACAAAAACTCTTGAAAAGGCAGATGGCCCTCTAATCTGCTCCTCTCCCAAAGGTCCTGTCCCATGCTGAGCTGGACTGGAAGGAGTGAGGAAGACTTACACTTTCAAGTTGTCGCTTCCCAGTTCATCTGAAAGAGAAGAAATGTAAAGGCCATGTTAGCTTTGTCTGTAACAATTTTTTACTTCAACAACAGCTGAACTCTGTTCTACAAAAAGAACGAAATAGCTTCAAGTAAATTGCTTGTTTAAAGGAGCAATAATTAACCTCTAAGTCCAACAAGTGCTGACTGCCATATTGAAATGAGGTCCCAATCCGTGTATGGCTGTTTTATTTTAGGTATGATGGTGCCCTGAGAGCCTTCGTTTCAGATCAGGTGTTTATCCCTCGTCGTTTGTTTTCTCCACACCAAGAGAAGAGCAGTGGTAAGGGGAAGAGAAAGGGTCACACAAGAGGGCTTGCTCCTTGGCCCCTGCCCCCAAATGTCCCAGTTTAAAACATTGCTGTTTCATCTCCTTCTGACATACCAAGCCAAACACCGTGACTGTCCTTTTGTCCCAGAGTAGGAAGTGGGGTACTCCATCCAGGGCTCCCCTTAGAACTCTCCTTGCACCTGTTCTTTGCATGGCTGGATCCGTCACACCCTCTCTTCTCAGCTTACACTCTTCTCTCAGGGAGGCCTCCCCCACCTCCTCTATCTGAAGTGGGGCCCTTCTTTCCTGTCGTTCCCCAGCTCAACACCTTGCTTGCTTCCTTCGTAGCATTTGCCACAATTTGTCACTGATCAATTCATCTGTCCAATTCTTTTTCTTCTGTCGCTCCCAGCAGACCACAGCTGCAAAAGGGCAAGGGATCATGTCTGTCTTGTTTGTCCTGGCACCCGTCACCTCCCATCTATCCAGCACAGTGCCTGGTAAACATGCGGTAAATATTTACTGAATAAATGAATAGATCTTAATCTGGATGGTCCAGCAGTGGGGTTAAATTCATGGCCAGTATGCTGAACTCAGCGTTATCATCATAACAATGACATGTCCAACAAGCCTGCTTATTGCTACCGTTGGTTAAGGTGACAGTCAGGTAACAGTTTGCAAAATGGCTCTAGTGCAGATCGGACTCTCAGTGAACACGAGGCAAGAATCAGAGCCCAATGCCCCAGCTCAAGATCTGTTTTGTTTGGCAGGGGGCTCAATGCACCCAGAGAAATGAGGCAATGATGTCAAGCAAGTGCACAGCATAGGCCCGCTGCACCATTTATGACATGAAAACCATGAAGAAACAAACCACTTTGTAGAGGTCCACCAAACAGCTTGATGTTTCTGCTCCTTGGCAATCAGAGGCCTCCTTTTCTCTGGCCTGCTGGTCCCCAGTGAGAGAAACTAACTAGCAGGCACCTGGAAATGAGCTGGCAGCCGCCGGGAGCCACTGTAATTGCCTGTGGCTTGGCAAGCTTGAATGGCATTGCTAATCCAGGAAAGCTGGGCACAGATGGAAGTTTCATGCCATCACTGCTTACCTTCGAGGGGCTCTAAGCTATGTCTTCCTGCCCACCCCCATGGGGATCCAAAGCTTCCTGAAGATGCCTGACTCCTCAGAAACTTTGGGGAAAGGGGAGCATGTGCCTTATATACATATTTTTATCATCTAAAATGTACATGCTATTTCCTTAAGGTATTTTACTATAAATAAAGCTCCTGTACAATTGACCCTCCCTTACAGGTGACCCATAAAAATCCCCATTTTTTTCACTCCCTCCTCCTCCCTCTCTCTCTTTTCCTGCTAATGACACCACCCCCCTATAACCCCACACACCCTCTTCCCCGCTATTTTTTCTGGAAGCAAGTAGCCCCACAGCCATACTGTTCAGGGCATGGATTTAGCTTTATAATCTGAGTGCCTGCAGGCTTCACAGTCAGCAAAAGCTACCCCTGCATGCAGATGATGGAAAAGTTGAAAACCCCATTACAAAAGTGGTCCAGATGCACCAAATGTGAAGCTCCTATAATCAGTATTCAAACAGAGCAAAAAGCCTTCCGTGGCCTCATCTCCCCTGCTCCAGGACCATTACCCCTGCCCCAGCCTCCATGGCAACAGAAAAACATCTGGGAGAGCGCGCCAGAACAGAGCATTAAACCAGGAGGGAGACCAATTACTCGTCCTCAGCAATCAGGCGCTGCCCGCTCCACTCCACCTGGCCTATATCTCTTTATTAATAGCCACCTACTCCTTTGCAACCAGGAGGCAAATGCAGCTCTCAACACAGCCCCCCACCCGCACTCGCATCCATTTTCCCTCCCACAGTCCTTCCATTTCATATCCTCCTAACCCACTTTGTCCTCCTCTTTCAGTTCCTACATTACACCCACTTAGCCTGACAATGCGCTGCTCCCAGATACTCTGTGCACTTGACAGTGGGACTGCTGGGGTGGAAGGATGGGGTGGAGGTGGGGGGAACAGGAGCCCAGCAGGAGGGTGGCTTGTTTATCTTGTTTCCATGCCGAACAGTGAGCAAGTGAGAGAGTCCCTTTCTGGAGATTTACTGAGCAGGGCCAGGTGTCATATAGCCACAGCCTGTTTATAAAGTGATGGCTTACTGCCAGCTGTTTCCCCTGCAGTTCTTTCAGAGAGACACAGCCCACCAAGACACTTACTAAATGTTAAATAATAACAACTGCAAATTTAATGCCAGGAGGTGTAGGAAGAATGACAATAGAACAAGTTACTACACAGTCCTTCTCTTTTCCTGGACATGAAAAGGACAGACTCAAAGAAAAAAGGTAATTTCCAATCGGATGAAGTGTTCTTCCTAAAAAAATGTTGGCCAAGTCCTCCCCACTTGTCAAATTTGAAAACTTATTTCCTGATGTAGAAGAATATAGCAGGCTTTATTTGTGTGGGGAAAGAAACAATGTGTTTCTTCCTAACCGGGAGGGGACATTATCCATGCCCTCCCACAAAACAGTCTTTGGGAATTTTCCAAGCAAAATATTGACCCAGTATGACAGTTTTATTTTTCCTGGGGGGAAAAATGTATTTAAATCAAATTTTGTTAATTTAAATATTCCCCTTTTATTGCTTTGCATTATAATGTTAAATATGGGTGGGTGGACTTCAGTGAACAGTAATTGTTAACCTTTTAGCGTTCAGTTTTTCTGAAGAGATATTCAAGTGTTAAGCAG